ATTTGGAAGAGCAAAATTCAGTCCTCTTTCCAATAAAAGTAATACACTATCCTCAAGAGTTGTACTAGATTCGTATCCACAACAATAGTGTTTGATAGAAGCGGATTGAGACTAAATGATAGCTAAAAGAGAGATGATGATGAATGTCGGAAGCCCACTAATAACGAAAAATAAGTAGAATTGAATAATCTAAATAGACTGATAAAAAATTTGAATATATATATATATATAATAAACTTAAAAATAAAACTTCCTTAGAATTAAGCGTAGATATAAAGACCAAGGTGTTGTAACCTATATTTTGATCGCTCTCTCGTTTAGATGCATATAAGTGCTCTCACCTCGTTTTTGCTGACGAAACGTTTGGGAATGCATCAACACTGATAATTATAATAACTACAATAGTAAAGGACTTCGGATAAGGTGCATCCAACTAGGTCGCCATAAAGACACAATTAAGTTGCGAAAACGAGACCAGACCATTTCCCTAAAATTAGATCATAGATACGAAGAGCAAGATGATGCAACCATAAGCTTGGTTGCAGAGTTGTAGCCTGGTGTTGGGAATAGCAAAACTCAATGACGGTGGATGAAAAGGTTCGATGCTAAAAATTCTCATGATTATTATGATAGAGGACACATGACTGGCTACGTTTGGCAAGATATCCGTTATACCGACTAAATGGCAAAAACGAGATCAACCCAACAAATTAGTAAAAGGTTATTAATAATATATATATAGACTGATAAACAAAATGTAAGGATCATAAGGGCGATTTTTTCAGGATATGCATTTTTGTGGACTGGCTTAATTTTTCAAAGGAAAAAATATTTAGAATATACCCTAGATCTCTTCAGCCAGAAGGCTATTAACATACCTCTAAAAGATTATGTAGATCTTGTATGGGATTATTATCCTCCTCCTCAGACCGACAAAATGAAATCTGACGACCAGATAGTTGCTTATTGGCCTGAATGCTAGGCAAATTTGAGGTAGGTGAACTCAAATCAGTCAGAGAAGATGAGTTTAGATCAGTTGGATTTCTGCAGTCCATAATTGCGGTAGTGGGTGAAGCAACGACGATGGGGGTCTGGACAGGACGTCTCCAATTAAGCATTCGACTCACTTGGTCTGGGGAGAGAAATCGGCGGCGCAAAGGATCACTGCCTGCCATGGAAAATGGCGAAGGCCCAATTAGAAAGGATTGCAATAAAGCCAAACAATTTGTCAGGGCAAGATGACAGTCGGGACTGTCTGCACTGAAGCTGTCATTCACACGTTGCACTAGGCTAGCGAACAATTGAGTTGTAGAAGTAGACAAAGTCGTCATCTCGTCCAAAGCCCTGATGGAGCAGACAAAAAAATGATAAGTTAGATGTGGACCAGAAGACGAAAAACTTGCGTGGTACTATTGTTAAAATGGTGTAAATAGAAAGTAGGAAATTAACTGGCTGAAAAATTACTTAAGTGCATCATTTTGAAGTTTAGGACTACAAAAATTCAATCCACAGGGTTTTAACAGCGATATTTTTACTGAGTAAATATTTATGGAAACCTTATCAGAATCAGTCTTCGCTTATAGTTTAAGGAAAATAAAAATTATTTCACGTCCAATCTGGTAAATATGAAAAGAAGATTTATTCCTAAATATAATTTGATTCAATTCCGAGATATTAGTTATCAACCAGATAAACCCTTAAAGTTATGCCAAAAAGACAATCTCCAGAAAATAATGTATGCAGAATAGTATATTCACACAAATTGAGTCAATCGGACTTGATCCACAAAGAGAACAAGTTGCATAGAAGTTACTTGAACTTGTTTTCGCAACTTGGTCATAATAGTAGGAAGACTTAAAGAAACGCGCCTTGTCCTGAGTACATTGAATGAATAATTATTTCCAAAGTCGGACCGTGGACGTGGTACATTTCCAGACGTTTCGCCGGCATCGTCAGTGAGTTTTACCATTAGTAGTACTATATTACAACTCGTCAAAGAGAGAAGTGAAGCCGATCCTTTGACCAAACGTGTGCTAAACAGTTATGGTATCTCCCGTTCTGCCCTGGCCTATTATCTCATTTCGTATATTCTCCAATCACGCCTTCATTGTCACAATATTTTACTTGCTTAGTTAAATGTGGTCGGTGCCCTTTTTTAGCGGATTTCATGAGAACCCTCCGCACTCCACGCTGGCCTTCTCACCGCCCTTCATCCTTG